CGGGCCTAGACCCTTCTTCAGAAATGGGGTCTAGGCCCGAAACGTCAGCCTTCCTGCTCCTCTGATGCTGCTTGGCCTGCTGTGTTCATCCAGCTCTACACCTTGTTATCTCAGCTTAAAAAGAGCCAGCTTGCCACTTCATATGTTTTTGCCTCTCAGATAGCACAAAGTAAGGGCACCTGATTAGGCTAGAAAAGAACACAATGGCATCAAGAGAAAACACAGCATCAGGAAGCTATTGACCTAGAAATTCATTCATGCTCAGAATTGTTGAGTATCAGGAGTCATATGTAGGCCAGACCAGGTAAGGATATTGGTGAACCAGATGGATTGTTCCGACAACTGACAGTGGTTTCATGATCAATGATGGTAGAGGGTTGTTGTTCAGACTGGAGGCCTGTGACCAACGATGTGCTGCAAGGATTGGTGCTGGGTCCGCTGTTGTGCATCATTTTCATGTAAATAATTTGGATGAGAATATAGGAGGCATGTAAACCAAAAGAACTGCAGATGCTGTAAATCAGAAACAAAAACAGAAGTTGCTAGAAAAGCTCAGCAGGTCTGGCAGCCTCTGTAAAGAAAAATCAGAGTTAACGTTTCGGGTCCAGTGACCCTTCCTCAGAATTGAGGTACAGGAGGCATGATGAGCAAGTTTGCTGATGACACCAAAATTGATGGTACAGTGGATAGTGAAGAAGGTTATCTCAGAGTACAACGGGATCTTGATCAACTGGATCAGTGAGCTGAGGAATGGCAGATGGTGGTTAATGCAGATCAATGCAACATGCCCATCGGGGAGGCGATGGCCCAGTGGTATTGTCGCTGGACTGTCAATCCAGAGACTCAGATAACATTCTGAGGACCTGGGTTCAAATCCCACCATAAGCAGATGGTGGAATTTGAATTCAATAAAAATATCTGGAATTAAGAATCTAATGGTGACTGTGAATCCATTGTCGATTGTCAGGGAAAAACCCATCTTGATCACTAATGCCCTTTAGGGAAGGAAACTGCCATCCTTACCTGGCCTGGCCTACATGTGACTCCAGACCCACAGCAATGTGGTTGACTCTTAACTGCCCTCTGGGCAATAAATGCTGCACAACCAGTGATGCCCTCATTCCGTTAATGAATAAAAAAAATGTTGCATTTTAGTAAGACAAACTAGGGCAGAATTTACACAGTTAATGGTAAGGCCCTGGGGAGTGTTGTTGAACAGGGATGCAGTTGCATAGTTCCTTGCAAGTGGCATCATGGGTAGATAGAGTGGTGAAGAAGGCATTTGGCACACTTGCCTTCATCGGTCAGACATTAAATACAGGAGTTGAGTTACAGCTGTAGAAGACTTTAAATGGCCACATTTGGAGTACTACATACAATACTGGTTGTCCTGCTATAAGAAGGGTATCATTAAACTGGAAAGAGTGCAAAAAAGATTTACAAAAATGTTGGAGACTGGAAGATGTGAGTTATAAGGAGAGGCTGCATAGGTTGGGACATTTTCCCTGCACCGTAGGAGGCTGAGAGGTGACCTTACAGAGGTTTATAAAACCATGAGGAGCACGAATAGGGTAAATAGACAAGGTCTTTACCCCAGGATAAGGGAATCCAAAACTAGAAGGTACAGGTTTAAGGTGAGAGGGGAAAGATTTTAAAGGGACCTGAGGGGCAACTCTTTCTCACAGAGTGGTGCATATGTGCCAGAGGAAGTGGTAGAGACGAGTACAACTATAACATTTAAAAGACGTTTGGACAGATACATGGATAGGAAGGGTTTAGAGGGATATGGGCCAAATGCAGGCAAATGGGACTAGTTCGGAAACCTGGCCAGCATTGATAAGTTGGGCTGAAGAGCCTGTTGCTGTGCTGCATGACTATGACTCATCATTAACTTTTAATTCCAAATTTTTATCGGATTCAAATTCCACTGTCTGCCATGGTGGGATTCAAACCTCGTTCCCCAGAATGTTACCTGGGTCTCAAGATTAACACACCGGTGATAATACCACTAGGTCATCCAGATGGAGGAAGATGTTGATGTTCCTCCTTGTGCAAAGGCTCTCCGTAACCTTCATGTTCTTGTGTGAAATGTGCATTGTGGTTGCAGCAGGTGCATCCTACTTTACTCCTTAGTTATGCTGAGGTAGAAGTTCTTCCTGGGGAGACTCTCTGACCTCTTTATAAGGATCCTTCTCCTCCTGCCCATTATCCTCCTATGCTGTCTCTTTGAGCAGCTCCTTCTCCTCTCTCATCTCTCTTGCTGCTTCCCTTCCTCTTCCAGCCCAAGGAAAGACTTGTGAGACCACCCACAACTGCAACTAAACTATTTCTGAGGTAACAAACAACAGTGTAAAACCAGAAAAATCTTTCCCTGTCTAGACAGTGTGAACATTTGAGATTCAGAAAACACAACAAAGAACACCCAGAAGCTTACCAGCAGCTAGAATTGAGACACCAACGTTCTGTGTAATCCTTTTAAATATCATTGGTGAGGAGTCAAATTGCTGTT